CTGCAATGCCTCCCCTGCAGCCTCCTCCCATCTCTCCCCCCAGGCAGCCCCTCAGGCCACGCCATGGCGCAGCGGGAGTGTGCTACGTGATGGTGACAGCGCTGCTTAGCACCCTGCGTCCGTGATCTCCCTTCCAGCAGCCGGAAGGAACCCACCCTGCCTTCGTGCTGGGGGGCAGGGTTGTAATTCAGGGCAGTGACTTTAGCTCTGGGCAGAATGAACTCCAGCTGACCCCCGCCCCATGCAGCTCCTCTTGGCTTGGCCGGGGCAGCTGTCCCTACTTTGATGCTCCCTGGGTTGGGCTGTTGCTTGTCAGCCCCTGACTGTGTCAGTGTGCACACTGCACATGTGGTCTAGGGAGGGGCCACCGCCGAGGGGGTCCGTCCCCAGTGTGGGTTTGAGTTTCCACTCCCTGCAGTCCTGCGCTGGACAGCCTGGTTCAGATCTGGCAGCTGCAGGATTGGGGCCTGGGGTCTCCTTCCCAGACGCTGCGGCTGGCTCTGTCCTCCTGAAATGTCCCACAAATCTTACTTGTTGACTAACTTGTTCATCGCGCTCCCCTCTTGCTTCCCGTGGGCCCCACAGCCTCCTGACTGCTATGCTTTCTCTGCTTGTTGCAGGTGCCTGGCGCTGCGGATGTCCTTCTGGGGGTGCAGGTGTGTGTCTGTCTGTCCAGGGATCTTCCTCACAGTTCACTTCCCACACCAAGTCATGACAGGTGTGGTTTCAGGTGAGGTGCTGCTGCCCGGGGCTGTCCCTGGGGGAAGGGGGAAGGATGGGTGGGTTGGATGCAGCATGGCACTGGGGCGTGGGAGTTTCCATGTTATTCCCTGGGAAAACAAGGTGGTGCCCTGCAGTTCAACCAGCAGGTGTGGGGTTAAACCAGCAGCCTCTCCACAGAGTGACTAGCTGTGCTGTTCTTTGCCAGTGCAGGGCCACAGCGCTCTCTAGCGATGCTGTGGAGCCCTGATCCAGCCTGCCGCAATCCTCAGGGAACTATTGGGGTGTGTGTGTGTGTCTGATGCAACAGAATCTCTGAATCTCCCCCTTGCTTTGCCCAGTGCTGGGCCTGGGATCATCAGGGGAATGGAGGGCCGGGGGGGTGGGAAGAGCCTTTTAATTATCCGGCTTCAGATAAACAGCTGAGAATTGCCCTTTTTGCTGGAATTTGGCCGAGCAGCTAATGAACCCAGAGTCTCACGGAGACGGAGCAGCTGGGATTCATCTGCCTTCGCTCTGCGCTGTTGCTGTTTGGGTGCCTTGCGGTAGCACCTCGCGGCCGCAGCTGCGCCACACAGACAGTGAGAGCCAGTTCCCGCCCTAGAGTGCTCACCGCCTATGGGGACCCATGGGGCTCTGCTCTGGCAGGGGGGAGGGTGGGTGCTCAGAGTCCAGCCCTGCAGTAACAGGCCAAAGGGAGGGAGATGGGCAGGATGGTTATGGCTGGGGGCATTGTCATGGCAACAAGAGCTGCCTTCCTTAGGGCCTGGCTGCTGCTCCCCAAACTGGCCTGTATAGAGACACTATAGGTGGGTCGGGAAGAAGGCCCAGGTCTGGTGGAAATGGGAACGATGACATTGCTGGGTCATCGAGGGTTTCCCTAGTGGCCTTGGAAGGTCATTAGAGCCATCTCTTCTCCACACGCTTTGCCAACAGGTCGGAGCCTGGCTGTCCACAAGGTAATGGCCAGTGTTCCCTGTAAGCTGAGCACTTGGGTGGCCGCCCAGGAGAGATTTAAATGCCACCTAGCTGATTAGCAGAGCCCCCACAGCTGGTGGTGCACATGGGCTGGTGGTGCACATCTGCACATGCCTTGGTGCATGCAACAAAATGTATTCCACAACTGGATGAAAAAATTAGCAGGAACATTGGTAATGGCCCAGGTAGGGAATACGGGAATAGAGTCTGCTGTATGAAGGAGGGGGTTGGGCTTTGGTATCGTGACTTCTTCCTGCCTTGCTGATACGGGTGCCCCAGTGTTGGTTTCATGTCTGATCTGCCTTCCTAGGTGTGGCAGTGGCTGGAGCGTTTCAATGCATCCCTTCCACCCTCACCACCAGTCTCCGGCGGTGCCTGGGCACCATCTTCTTCCTGTTTTTTTTGTTTTTTTTTATAATGGAGATTGCCTATCTCCTAGAACTGGAAGGGACCTTGAAAGGTCATTGAGTCCAGTCCCCTGCCTTCTCAGCTGGACCAAGTACCATCAGCTTCGCCCTGGGGTACTACCTGCTCCTGAACGCCCTCGGGGCGGACCTGCTGTGGACTCTGGAGAAAGCCAAGCGGTGGTTCAACCGGCCGGAGTGGGTCCACATTGACACCACCCCCTTCGCCAGCCTCCTCCGGAACCTGGGCATCCTATTTGGGCTGGGGCTGGCCCTCAACTCCCAGATGTACCTGGAGAGCTGCAAAGGGAAAGCGAGCCAGCAGCTGCCCTTCCGCCTGAGCTGCATCGCGGCCTCGCTCCTTGTCCTGCATCTCTTCAACTCCTTCAAGCCTCCCACCACAGTGGAGCTGCTGTTTTACGTCCTGTCCTTTTGTAAGAGCGCGGCCGTGCCGGTGGCTGCTGCTGGCTTCATCCCCTACTGCATCACCCAGCTCATCAGGAAGCAGGAGGAAAAGCTTTTGTAGGAGAGAGCAGGGCCACCTGCCTCTAGTTGCTCGGCCTGATGTCCAGGCCAGGGTCTGCTCCATGGTGCTGTATCACAGAGCCAGTGCAAACTGAGCGCGACATGGGCCTGCACTACTTTTCCAGTTGCACAAACTACACAGACTTGAGAGATGTAAACTGTCTGGGTGGGGTGAGAGTCCTGTGAACCTGCTCTCAGTCTGCTTGGAGGGGATTTGGTAGGTCAGGGTTTGCTTCACACTGGGTATTTGAAGCATGGTTTGGTTTTTCCCCTAGGAGGTGGTACAGACCCTGGCATGGTCCTTGTGTCCCCATGCACACATGGCTCTCTGCCCTGCGCTAAGCAGAAGAAGGGAAAGGGAACGGTAGGAAAAGTACAACTTGGCGCTCTCAGACTACGTCTACACTGCAGGAATCTGTTGGCAGAGGCAATGCAAATGAAGCACTCATTAGTATTTCTCGCCCTCTTATTTGCATAGTCTCTTCTGATCCATTTTGTGGAAGAGGCTTTTGCGGGGAAAAATCGCAGTGTATACCTGTATACCTACTTTTTTGAGGAATCAGAGTTCTTGCACAAAAGGGGTTTCTGGCGCAAAATGGCCCCGTCTACACTGCGGTTTTTTGCGCAAAAACTTCCGCATAAAGGGTCGGAAGAGGATATGGAAATGAGAGTGTGAAATTTGCTAATGAGCAGTGTAGACGTAGCCTCGTAGACATAGCCTCAGTGAGGTGCTGAGACATGTGATGCCGAGCTATGCCAAGCGCTAACTCGGTGCGCAGCGAGTGGCAGGCGAGTGGCTTGCGCAGTCACCATGATGTCCCTGGTTTGTGCCTTTGTCTCATGGCTTTTACTCCCACCTAAACCCGGAGTAACTCATAAGGAATCAGACCCTTGCAGCCTCAGTGCCCTCTCTATGTATCCCAGCATGCCCTGGGCTTGTGCTGCAAGTGAGCTATGCAGATTTGCATTTGGCACGATGAGATACAAGCTGTAGCGTTTGCATCCTAGCAGCTCAGCGCTGGCGCGGGCAGTCGTGTCAGGAGAGTCTCCCTGTCCTCACCAGTGGGCACACAAGATCTTATGCCTCCTGGGAAATATCCAACCCTGAATATCATATCACAAAACTCCTGTCCCTGGGGGCACAGATCTTCCTGGGTCACCGGTGGGCATGAAAGTCCCTGCTAGAGCAGGGGACTCACCCATCTGTGGTTTCTTTTCACATGGGTACTGGTGTAAGGTTTCTTTGCCCGAGGTACTCAGACCTAAGAGTTTGAAAAGAGACCATCAGGGATAAGATGCCCTCTCTGCATTTCGGACAGTGAGATGTGATGTGATGGGGAGGAGAGCGAACGTGTTTATTTTCTCTTCTGTTATCTCCTCTTCCTTCTCCAGCCAACTGTCCCGAGAGGCTTGGGCGGTGTTCACAGCCATGACCCCCCTCCCTGAGCCCACTGAACATCACAAACTGCGGCCCACTGCCACTTATCGAGCTGTTTTCCTGTTTGCTGGTAACAGCTGCAGAGACTCCTGTTTGTACCAAGGGCCATTGCTGTATAGCTTGTTCACCCTGGCTCCCTCTTTCCTAGGAACAGGTTGGGGTGTCTCTTCCCGTGTTGAATAGTAATAGAGATGTAGCCATGTTAGTCTGGTCTAACTGAAACAAAAGACAGGACTGTGTAGCACTTTAAAGACTAAAATTCTTCCACAATTTGATCTAAGGAAGTGGGTCTGGCCCTCGAAAGCTCATCACTAATAAACCATCTTGTTAGTCTTTAAAGTGCTACATAGTCCTGTCTTTTCTTCCCGTGTTGTGAGGTTCTGTATTTCCACCACTGTTAAATCTATCTCATGAATAACGAATCACACTTTGTCCTCGGCTTTCTTCCATCAAACATGTGCTCTGTTGCCATGTGCATTTACACAGATTTCCTTCCACAAACGACCTAGGGTGTTCTGCACAGCAGGGCTTAACTCGAAATAAGCTACACAAAGGGAGCTACGTCAATTACGTCTCTTATTTCGAAATTGGGACTGTCTACACAGCACTTATTTCGAAATAGAGCACTCTTCCCCCGGCTTCCCTTATTCCTTGTACAATGAGGGTTACAGGAGTCGGAGTAAGAAGTCTTCCAGCTTGACAGTATTTTGACATTTCAAAAGTACTGCTTGCTGTGTAGACAGGGACTAAGTTATTTCGGAATAGCACTAGTTATTTCAAAATAATGTTGCTGTGTAGACGTATCCTTAGGCTACACAGCAACATCATTTTCTCTGCAAAAAATATGCTAATGAGGGACTCATTTGCATGAATTTCAATCTCATTTGCATATTTTCTGCTGATCCATTTTTGCACAAAAACAAGCAATGTGGACATTTTCTTTTTGCGCAAAAAACCCTTTCCCCCCAAGATCGGTATACCTCTTTTTTGGGGGCATAGGATCTTGCGGAAAATGCCCCCAAAAAAGAGGTATACCGATCTTGGGGGGAAAGGGTTTTTTGCGCAAAAAGAAAATGTCCACATTGCTTGTTTTTGTGCAAAAATGGATCAGCAGAAAATATGCAAATGAGATTGAAATTCATGCAAATGAGTCCCTCATTAGCATATTTTTGCCGAGAAAACTCGTAGTGTAGATGTAGCAGAGCATGTCTGCAGCTTGGATCACAGGCAGCTGGCCTGCCTCCACCTCGCAGAAAATAACAGAGCTGGAGTAAACCTCTGTATGCTCTTGGTGCATGTCATGTTCCCTCATCCCAGTGAAGCACATATCTGGGCAGCCTGGAATGCTCTGGGAGCTCGACAAAGATCAGTATGAGCTGCCTCCCAACCAGGGAAAAGCAAAGAAGGGAGGCAGGGATGGAGTTAGACTCGAATCCATTCGTGTCTTTCTCCGTGGACACGGGGCTGCGCACGTTCTGTGCACGTGTCCTTTACTGGGAATCCCATCCACTTCACAGAGAGACCCTGGATAAAAGCTTTCAGTCAGCTGATGATCTCAGTTACAGGCCGTGCCAATGCAGAACACACTCACAGCTTCAGCGGAGTCATCTTAGATCTACACTAGGGCTATGTCTAGACTATGTTCTATTTTCGAAAGAGGATATGCAAATTCCCACTGATATTCCATGGGAATTTGCATATCTTCTTCTGAAAAAACCTGTAGTTGATGTGCTTTTTTCAGGGAAAAAACGCTTTTCCTTAAAAAATGAACTTTACGCGGTTTTTTTCGAAAAAGGGTTTTTTCCCTGAAAAAACCGCATCCAGACTACTTTCACTTTTGAAAGATCCTCTTTGGAAAGTGAGATCGGATAGTGGAATTTGCATATCCTCTTCTGAAAAAACCTGTAGTTTAGACATACCCTAGTAGAACTGCGATCAGAAGTTGGCCCAATCTGCATTTTCTGCCTCATGTAGACACCTTCAGCGGGGGGCACAGTTTCTGTGCAAACTGGGACAGTTAGAAACCAGGTTTTGGTCTCCCCTTTGTAGCAACGATAAATTGGAGATGAACTCAGCCACCTCCCTCAGTCCAGAGGTGAACATGAGAAGGGCCATCCTGGGTGAGACCAAAGGTCTTTTTAGCGTGTCCTGTCTGTCAACAGTGGCCAACGCCAAGTGCCCCAGAGGGAATGAACAGAAGAGATAATCATCAAGTCATCCATCCCTTGTTGCCTATTCCAAGTTTCTCAGGCTAGGAATGCCATTCCTGTCCATTTTGGCTAATAGCCATCGATGGACCTAGCCTCCATGAATTTATCTTTTTTGGACCCTGTTAAAGTCCTGCTCTTCACAACATCCTCTGGCAAGGAGTTCCACAGGTTAACTGTGTGTTGTGGGAAGAGGTGGAAGTGCTACCAGCTAGCGCGTCCATTTCTGACATGGAGAAGGCCTCAGGGATAAAGCAGGACACAGCTGTTTTTCTAATCCCAGGAAATCTGCATGTGGCCTGTCAAACAAATGAATAAATATAAGTAAAACAACCTGCTTCACCCAGCGTCCAACCTATGCTACGCCCCACCATTCCAGTGAGCCTTAAAATGCATTTCATCTGAACAGACAGTACCAGATTTCAGAGAAACGGGACACAGCCATGCCCCACTGGTGTCTGTTTGCTAACCCATCAGACTCCTGGATATGTAGGTTAACAGTCAACCAGGCCAGTCTTTGGTTTTAAACCAGCGGCATCACGTTAGCTTTTGGTAACTTTTGTGCGATTCGCTGCTTTGCTCCCCCACTTACAGCCTTTCCCCCTAGTGACAGTCCCATGCCCAGAAGTATCCAGAGGGAAACTCTGAAATGAGGGACATTGAATCCTGGGGATGATGGGTCAGGCAGTTTGCTTTGGATTTCTGGCTATGTCAATAGTGTTTTGGCCCTCGGTGGCTTGGGATCAAAGGTCAGGGGTTGCATGTGTCATAGAAGAGCCGCCGCTGGCAAGGGATAAGAAGCAGCAGAGTACACAAAGCTGTCAGTGCAAACAAGGGGGCCCAAAGAGACACAACCCAGAGCCATAATGGACCTGCTGCACGGTGCAGGGGTGTGGATGGTGCAGTACCTGCAGGAGAACTACCAGAGCTCCCAGGACTGGTTCCTCTTTGTCTCCTTCGCTGCCGACCTTAAAACCACTTTCTTTATCTTCTTCCCCATCTGGTTCCACCTCTCTGAGGCCGTGGGCGTCAAGCTGATCTGGGTGGCCGTGGTCGGGGACTGGCTCAACTTGGTCTTTAAGTGGTGAGTGAGGATTCTGTGGTGCAGCAGTGGAGAGCTGCAGTTTGGGCTTGTTGCTTTCTCCTTTCCTCCTGATGCAGCCTCTTGGAGGGAAAGGCTGGGTTTGGGATTGAGGAACAGGGTTGCGACTCAGGACACTTATGCACTGATCTGGACTCTGCCACTGACGACCTCTGTGACCTTGGGTGAGTCACTTCACCTCCCCGTCCTCCGTTCTCCAATCAGGGAATAACAGTGACTTGCCCCACAGAGTTTCATGAAGCTGAATGAACGTGTGGCGACCCCTTGGGAGTGCTTGTGTGGAGAGGCTGGTACAATAATATCCAGCTATCTGCTGGGAAGGGCCGTTTCCCAAACCCACAGCCTTGGCTTTGTGGCAGCTCCCGGGCCAAAGCCACGCTGCGCTCTGCAGCCTCCCCTCTGCGCCTGGGGAGCAAAATGGGCCCCCTAAAGGGAACACATGGGGAGGCTCTTTGCCTACGTACAGCACATAGGACCACGGTGTGTCCCCAGTGTCTGTCCAGAGCTCGGCTGCTCCAGTGCAGTGGCCCAGGGGCTGCCCTGAAAGCCAGAGGCTGGTGCTGAATTAATAAGGGAGCCGAAAAGGCAAGAAGAGTCGGTCGGGAGAGTTATGGGGCCAGCACTTCCCACCCTCCCAAGAGCCTCCAGGGCCGGGCAACCAGAGCGCTGCCGCTCCTGGGAATCCACACTGCCGACAGGCGGCCTGAGGTGCCCTGCGCCACGCACTGGCACTGCCTTCTCCTTTCCCTGCAGGATCCTCTTTGGGCAGAGACCCTACTGGTGGGTCCATGAGACCAGTTACTATGGCGACACCTCTCCCCCGGTGATCCAGCAGTTCCCCCTCACCTGCGAGACCGGGCCAGGTAAGGTTCCCGCCGTTGCATCCCTGCACCTGGCCCCCACCTCCCCTCCCTTGTAACTGTCCTCTGGATTGTGTCACTGCCACAGGAAGCCCCTCGGGGCACGCCATGGGCTCTGCCGGAGTCTACTATGTCATGGTGACTGCCCTGCTGCCCTGCGTCCTGGGCACCCGGCGTGGGACCTGTGTAGCCAGGTGAGGGGTGTCTTGTGGCCTGAGGCCCTTCTCGTGGGCCTGGCTTTGTGTTACTTGGGATGGGTTTTCACTGCCCCTGGTTTCATACCTGTAATAGGGGGACTGTCCCCTTAAGGCAGGGGTGTCCAAACTTGAGGGATCAGTCAAACCCTGAGGCATGGTGTGTTCCTGGGATTTTTGGAGCAGAGGAAGACCAAGGGAAGGCGATGGAAGCTGCAGGAATTGAAATGGGGGAGGGGGTTCGAATTTACAAGGGGGGTGTCAGGGCCGAGGAGGGGCGACACCGTGAAGGTGAAGGTGGGCTGTATGACACCATAGTTCACAAAACTGGGGGGGTGTTGGGGAAATTCAGGGGGGTATACACCCCCATGGGGGGTGTGGGGAAATCCCTGACTCCGCCCACAGAGAGAGCTGGGGGATGCCGGTGTGTCTGACCCCACACACTACCCACATCTGGGCCCTGTGGCAGACACAAAAACCGTTAGGCCCTAGAACCTGTCTCATTTTCCAGCTAGCAAGGCGGGTGCCCAGGCTGGCTGCGTGCTGTGCGGAGAGGAGTCATTCCAACTGCACTGAGTCTGTCTGTGTGCACAGGCTGCTGGTGGCTTCACGATGGTTAGGGTTGCCAGGTGTCTGGTTTTGAACCAGACAGTCCAGTATTTGAGCTTTCTGTTCGGGAAACAAATTGAGAAAATAGAAATGAGAAAATAGAAATGTCCGGTATTTTCTAATTAAGATGTAACGTAGATTGTGATGTAATGTCAAGTGTGTCTGGTATTTTTGTTGAAACCATCTGGCAACCCTAACCATGGTGCTTTCGCGCGGTGCCTGGATCCGCGCCCTCTCTCCGCAGGTGCCTCCGCGGCCTGCTGTGGCTAGCCTTCTGGGCCGTGCAGGTCTGCGTCTGCTTGTCCCGAGTCTTCCTGGCAGCTCACTTCCCCCATCAGGTGATCGCAGGAGTCATCTCAGGTGAGCATCAAGGCTGTTCCTCCCCCTCCCCTGCCACATCACTTGTCACCAGCTTTCCAGGGCTCAGTGAGCAGAGACGACGTAGACTTGTCGAACTGGGAGGAACCTCGAGAGGCCCTTAAATCTCGTTCCCTGCGACTCATGGTTGCACCAAGCACCATGTAGGCATCGAGCCCAAGAAATCCTGCCAGAAGGAGACTTTCAGCCTCAGCTCTGGGATCACCCCATACTCTACCTACGATGGCAAAGCGAGGGGCTGGGAGCACATCTCTCCCTGGGCCTCCACGTCTGCCAAGTAGTGACGCAAACAGCACAGTGGTCTCAGCCACCCCTTGCATGATCCATTGTCCCATTCCACATGGACACGAGGTGCTTTGCATGGTGCTATAGAGAGAGCACACGCCGGGGTCTCATGCAAACCAGCAGGCTGCTAGGTTTGCTAAGTGTCTGGTTTTCGCCCGGACAGTCTTGTATTTCTGGTAAAAAAAACAGACGGATGGTCGGCGGGGACATTTCCCCCTGCTGCATCTGGGCTGGAGCAGCGGGGAGTGCAGGAATTTAAAGGCATAGCGACCTTTTTTTTTTTTTTCCCCTTTTGCTCCACAACTTTGGTCTCAACCCATTTTTTTCCCCCACCATGTTTGGGATTTCTTGTGAAGGTATCTGGCAACCCTACCGGCAGGTGCCTGCTAGCCCAAGGACAGGAGGGTCCCAGTTCTCTGCCCGCCTGGTTCTTAGTAGTGACCTGGGGCTGCCACTGTATGTGCCTAACACCTGGTTCCGTGACTCAGCTGCTGCTCCTTCCCCCAAGGCCTCTTGTCACTGAGCCCACATGGAAAATTTTGTTGCTAGGCCTGTTTGCTGCTCGGTGAGGGTATGTCCACACTGCAGGGAGGCACCCACGGCTGGCCTGTACTGCTGACTGGCTGGGGAGTCAGGGGTGGCCTCTGGGCTGGATGTATCCCTCCAAACTGCCAGATCCGGCCCACAGGAGCCTTAGCCAGGCTCCTTGCCGGCCCCATTCCCACATGCTGCCCAGAGCAGCTCTCTGAACTCTGTGAGCCTGGGTGGGGGGGAGAGGCTTTGCGCACTGCCCCCGCCTCCAGCATAATCTTTCAGCTCCCATTGGCCATTACAACCTTCTCCCAAGCCCTGCACTCCTTTCTATGCCCCTCCTCCCGGTCCAAATCCTCTTCTGCACCCAGACCCCCTCCCAGATCCCACACCCGCCTCCTGCATCCCACCCTAAGCTCCCTTCTGCCCCCAACCTCCATCCCAGACCCCGCACCTCCTCCAGAGTGCAGCCCTTGAGCATGTTCTCAGGGTGCCCCCCCGATCAAAAATAATGACCCACCCCTGGGCTGAGGGCTGTTTAATTACAGTGTAGCCGTTTGGGCTCTGGCTGCAGTCTGACCTCTGGGACCCGCCCATGCAGGATCGCAGCGCTCAGGCTGCAGCACCAGCCCAAACGTCGGTCCTGCAGGTAAGCAGCCCATTAGCCGGCGGCGTGACAGACCTAGAGACTTTTTTGCCCCCAGGGATGGTAGTAGCGGAAGCATTTGAGCACATTCACGCCATCTACAATGCCAGTCTCCGGCGGTACCTGGGCACCACCCTCTTCCTCTTCGGCTTCGCCCTGGGGTTCTACCTGCTGCTGAAGGCCCTCGGGGTGGACCTGTTGTGGACCCTGGAAAAAGCCGAGCGGTGGTGCGACCGGCCGGAGTGGATCCACATTGAGACCACCCCCTTCGCCGGCCTCCTCCGGAACCTGGGCATCCTATTTGGGCTGGGGCTGGCCCTCAACTCCCAGATGTACCTGGAGAGCTGCAAAGGGAAAAGGGGCCAGCGGTTGCCTTTCCGCCTGAGCTGCATCGCGGCCTCGCTCCTCGTCCTGCACCTCTTCGACTCCTTCGACCTCCCCACGGACAGAGAGCTCCTGTTCTACCTCCTGTCCTTCTGCAAGAACGCCGCTGCCCACCTCTGCGCCGTGGCCCTCATCCCCTACTGTGTGGCCCAGGTGCTCCGGAGGGGCCACGAGAAGATGCGCTAGCTGACCGGCAAACTTGTGTCATGGCTGCCGAGCCAGGCTGCTGTGGCAGGGGACCGTGCTGCCCAGGGCTCCCCCTTTGCTTTCCCCTGCGGCAGCAGGTCTCCCAGCACCACCGACCTCACCGCTCTGGGTTACGTGATCAGCTCACACGCACGGGGCGTGGAAGGGGCCGTTCATCGTCTCCTTTGGGGGAAAGGCGGCAAGTGACTATCACACACCCCAGTGCTGGCCCAAGGCCTCGGGGCCCTTTGCGGTCGCTCCTTACGAGCCATTTGGCTACCACCCCCCCAGGTGGGCACAAATGGCAACCAGTACTCAGGAGAGCATGAGTGAGTAATGGGGCAGACCGGATCGTGGCCCACCCAGGGGCACAGGTTGCCGCTGAGAGGGTGGCGTCCCACACCACATTCAGCTCCAGGCTGCTGTGCCCAACGCTCTCCGGAAGGGGGGAGCAGTCGGCCCTTGGCAGTTTTTCAGCTCTGTCCCCTCAGGGCCCAGTCACTTGGCTATGGAGGCTCTGTGACAGCCACGCCATGTCAATCAACGCAACCCTAGCAAAGCAGAGCTGGCAGCCCCCGGCATGGAGGTCCCCACGCAGCTTGGGCTGGGCGTGCCATAGATGGGGGGGTGTCTGTGTGTGCAGGGCTGCATTATGACTTTCGTGGGCCCTAGGCACTTTTGCCTTCGTGGGCCCCTCCCACCATAATAATATCAATATTAAAAATTATTTTTGATATAACTTTAAATACTTCACCATTTCATTTTTTTTCTGTTTTAGGCAAAATGTAATAGATTTCCGTGGGCCCTAAAAGTTTCATTTTTTTCTGATGTGAGAAAAAAATTAAAACATTTTCTTCAACCCTAAAAGTTATTTTTTTCCCCTGATTTTAAAAGAAATGAAAACACTTTCGTGGGCCCCTAAAAGTATCGTGGGCCCTAGGCACTGCGCCTACTGTGCCTAATGGATAAGTTGGCCCTGTGTGTGAGCTGCTGGGGCTGGCCCAGCTGTGTGGTGCACAGGGACAGGAGCTAGCTGTGAAATGCCTTTGGGAATAAAATGAGAAACTTGCCCTCAGCCTTTCCTGCCCTCAGGCCACCTCTGCTCAGTGTCCCTGTGGGGCCTCCCAGCACCCTGCAAGGCAAGTCATAGGAATGGCCGGAGTGATGGTCCAGCCAGCTCCATGCCCTGTCTCTAACAGAGGCCGGATGCTGTGTGGGGACAAAGGGGCCAGGGCAGTTATCCAGCCAGTCTGGCTGCGAGGGGAACATACTAGAACTGTGGTTCTGAGCCAGGGACACAGGTACTCCGGCATTACACACAGGCCTTCCGGGGCTACGGCAACTCACCTAGAGCAGTGTTTCTCAACTTTTTTATAAAGTGCCACTTTTAAAAAAATGTACCCCCAGTACCTACAGTTTTCAGATACACAATTTTTTTTTTCAATGCAACACATTTGTTTAAACAACTTAATCGTAGCTGGGTGGGAGATGACATTTTTGGGTGTAAAAAGTACAAAAATAATAAAGCGCTGTAAAACTTAAAACAAAAATTCCGTTTTCTCCAAATTTCAGTTGTGTGGACGTACCCCCAAGATTTCTCTCGAGTACCCCTAAGGGTACTCGTACCAGTGGTTGAGAAACACTGATCTAGAGACTTACCTGATTTCACCGCAGGCTACATACCCCACGCACGAGCGAAGTCAGTACAAACTAACTAACGTTTCACCCAGACAAGGACTAGTTTGTACTGCTCTGCATACTATACGCGGCAAGGCAAGTACACCCTTTCTGTCTCATCTGGTTTCATTTGATCTCTAGATGGTAAAAATGAGAAAATCAGCCATCGGTCAGCAATAGTCTTGTGGTAACAATTGTGAATTTTGAGGTCTGCTGTTGTCACCAAGCAGTTCCTGAGGAGAAACTTGGGGGCACGCCACACAAACCCGATGCCTGAAAGGGGGACAGGACTCTGGCAAGGATAAGAGCTGCTGTTCTAGAAGGCAGGGACTGAGGGGGAGCAGCAGGGGTTGCAGGGAAGGGAGGAGCAGCCTGAGGCCTGCACCCTGCTCTAGGGAGTTTAGTTGAGGTGAATGCTGAGGACGGAAGCGGCTCAGAGCTGGGCGGCAGACACTGGCGTGGAGGAAGGGGAGCTGTCACTGTGTGCAACCTGCCCCGGGCTGGCTCAGCCTTCCCCACTCTAGGCATCCTCCTTGCTCAGCTCTCTGCTTGCAGGGCTCAGGTTTCCGTTTTGGGCCCAGAACAACTGGGGGATTTGTCTCCCGCTTTCTACTACAGGCCCAATACAGGGCCCCTGCATTCCGACCAGCCGTTCTCTGCAGAGGGTAAGGCCTTGACCGAGAGAGCGAGGAGCCCTTCCATTCTAGCCCCGTTCCCTGGTACAGGGGCAGTTCTCTGCTCCCCTGGCGCAGGTCAGGAGTCAGCGCAGGTGGCTGGATTTAGCGGCGCGTTCAACAGCAGGGGATGTTCCAGCAGCGAGGGTCTGTATGGGGAGTGGGGCGCTGACTTGGGGCGTTTGGGTTTGAAACCCGAATGTCCGCTCCAAGAGGCGCTAATCTGCTGCCAGAGGTGCAAGCTGAGAGCACGTGCAGCGGGGCCAGAGCCGGGTGTTTGACCACGCAGACAGAGCCGTTAGAAATGTCGACTGCTGTTAGAGAGGCAGTCACTGCAGGGGTGTAAGAAATGATAAGAACATCAGAACGGCCAGACTGGGTCAGACTGTGACAGGGCGCCTGCCCTGCACTGGCCCTTTTAAGACCAGGACTCAGGCCCTGAGCCAGGGCTAGAAAGAAAGGCCAGCTGGAGCGGTTTAGGGCCAGTGAGAGCCCAGCTGGCAACTATCTAGGGCAGCACAATTGGCTTGTGGAAGCCAGCTGAACCCATTAGGGGAATGAGAGCCCAGCTGGCAGGTATATATAGAGAAGCACAGGTTGCTTGAGGGGAAAAAGTCAGTGGAGGGCTGACTGCAGAGTAAGCAGGAGCTCCTTGGAGGGAGACAGCCGAAGGAGACAGCCTGTCGAGGGGACGCTGGCCTGGAGATCGCAGCCAGCTGGACAAGTCCAGGAGAAGGAAGCCCGGGGATCCAGGTAGGAAGTCGCCCAGGGCAGGAGCGGGAGCCCCCCCTCCTGGCCCGAGAACCTCGGTGCGTTTCGGCTGGATGGCCCTGCCGAGGGAGGGACCCGGGACCTGGTCGCTCACAGGGCCCTGGGCTGGGACCCGGTGGAGTAGGGTGGGCCCGGGTCCCCCTACCTGGGGTGCGCCCTGCTACAACAGTTATAAACTGCTTTGTGGACTTGGCCTTGCTTAAAGGGCCAGTTATATACTGTTGTGTGCCGATGATGAGCAACCCATACAGACTGCAACTTGTCCTGAGAGGGGCTATATGAGGACAGTCAAGGGGCACTGAGGCACACTGGGGGTGTCCACCCCCTTACACAGACCAAAGATCCATCTAGCCCAGTGTCCTGTCTGCCCAGAGTGGCCAATACCAGGTGCCCTAAAGGGAATGAACAGAATAGGAAATCATCATGTGATCCCTCCCGCCACCCATTTCTAGCCTCTGACAGAGACCAGGGACACCATTCCTACCAAGCCTGACTAACAGCCATTGATGGACCTAACCTTTATGAATTTATCTAGTTCTATTTTGAACCCTGTTAAAGTCCTGGCTCCACAACATCCTCTGGCAAGGAGTTCCACAGGTTGACTGTGTGTTGCATGAAGAAATGCTTCCTTTTTGTTTTAAACAAGTATGAATGTCATGTGGTGACCCCTAGTTCTTATGTTATAGGAACAAGTAAATAACTTTTCCTTGTTCATTTTCTCCACACCAGTCATTTGATAGGCCTCTATCATATCCCCTCGCTTAGTCTCCTCTTTGCTAAGCTGAAAAGTCCCAGTCTTTTTTCTCTCTCTTCATATGGCACCCGTTCTGAACCCTTAATCATTTTGGTTGCCCTTTTCTGAAGCTTTTCCAGTGTCAATTGTTCTTTTTTGAGATGAAGTGACCACATCTGTGCATAGTATTTAAGATGTGGGCGCACCATGGTTTTATATAGAGGCAATAAGATGTTTTCTGTCTTATTTTCTATCCCCTTTTTAATGATTCCTAACATTGTTTGCTTTCTTGACTGCCGCTGCACATTGACTGGGTGTTTTCAGAGAACTATCCAGTGACTCCAAGATCTCCCGAGTGGTTGTAGCTAGGATGAAAGTCACAGCCAGCAGGAACAATGTGCACTGAAGAGATGTCCCCAAGACAGAGCTGCCAGCCAGCAGCTTTGATTAACACTGCAAATGCTGGTACATGCCAATATGCCGGCCAGCTGAACAGATCTTTAGCCTCTGTGCACCTGCAGCAAGCAAAGGGTCACGTCACTTGTGAATGCCTATGATCCCGGATAGGCTCGTGATCACCCTGGCAGGAGCAGCTGCAATCCCTGTTTGTCAGCATGGCGCAAGCTGTTGCTTCACCATTTCAAGGTGACGCCAGGCTCCCAGAGACTTTCTGCAGCCACGGTTTGACAAACACTTGCGTCAGGTTAGTGACCGGCCAGTGGTAGGCTGGCAGAAGGAGCTGCTGAGCTCAGAGGATAGACACGGCACGTGGAGACAGGACAGACACCACACCGTACAGTAGCCAGCACCATCCAGCAGCGGCGTCAGAACATCAAGAAAGAACGGAGGCCGTCAGGAACGTCTTGCATGAGGCCGGGATCTAGGACATGGCTTCCTACAGGAAAATTCCTCTTTGCTGTATCAGCATCAGCCTTCTTCAGCTGGCTGGTTCCAGCTAGAGTTGTTAAATATTGGTTAATTTAATAGTCAATTAACCTCAGGAATTCTTATCAGTTACTCGATTATTCTATAGTCCCCAGGGATAGGGCTGGCAGCCAGTGTGCTCCGGCCTCACTCCTGCGGAGCCCCCTGCCACGCCATGCTGCTGCCTCTGTATCAGAGAAAACAGCGCAGAGTGCCAGCACGAGAGCAGCCAGTTTAAAACCCAGCTCCCCTTGTGAAATCAGCTCCCCTCGCCGACCGGCTGCCTGTCACCCTGCGCTGCTGCCTCTGAGGCAGAAGTGCGGGATGGCAGCAGCCCCTATCCAGGGGGAGGCAGGGCTGAGTTCCTGGACTTGGCGTGAGCCAGAACTGAGCCGGGCTGCCCACCCACCTGGCTCCCAATACACTTTAAATGCAGAGCTGCAGCGGGATAGGTCCTGGTGGAAGTTTTCTTTTCCTTTTGTGAGTTGGCTGGGGGTCTGGACAGTAGCTAGGGCTGGAGGCTGACTGGACAGGTCTCATCTTTGCCCAGGCTGGTCAGGGAGGTTGCCAGGTAACAGGTGGCCACACAGCAGCTTACCTGGGGCCTAATTTTTCAACCGCTTCACTGGGCCCGGCCAGGAGGAATGTACTGGTGAGGGGATGTGTGCAGTCTCTAGCATTAACCTATAAGCTTTTGCTTATCGGTTTATCAACTACACTATTACATCCCTAGTTCCAGCTCCGTGTGGCTGAGCCTAGCGTGAGTCACTCTCAAGTGTGGATCCCAACACACCTTTGATTCCTGCCCTGACCCTTCCTCCCCCACCCCCTCCCAGGCTTCCTGTTGCCCTGGTTACAGTGAAAATGGCTTGGCCATGCTGAATGATGATGCAACATCTCAAGTCTCTCACTCCTGCAGCTGTGTCCCTCATCAGGAGGGCAGCGCCCAGGAGCCAAATAGAGACCCCTTGGCTCATCGTTACAGGGAAAAACACCAAGGGAGCGCCTCCTTCCCAGATTCTGCCCAAGCACATTGTACTGGCCCCAGGAACGAGGAAGAAACCCACTCACACGGCTGCCACTGCCTGCTGCTCTCCAAGGGTGGTACCAGTGGCCATCACTGGTAAAGGCAGCAAAAGCCAGATGTTCCTTAGGTTTGCAGGAGGGATGGGCAAAGAAGCTTTGCCTGGCACAGTGGGCCCCAGCCCTGGCTAAGAACGTCAGCGCCAGGAAGTGTCTAGTTCACAAAGCTATTTGTGCCATTTAGCTGGAGAAAGTTTGCCACATGGCCAGGCCAAAGAGAAACACAGGGCATTGGGCCCCCCCCCGTCCAAATTCACCCACACCCCTTGCTCGTCCCCTGTCCCAAACACTCCCCCCCACACACACCTGGGCACCCCCTAGAGCCACAGGACCTGGCCTGAGGACATCAGAGCCCAGGCGGCTTGATGGTCAGGGCTCTGCACGCGCACATACACGCATCATTCTCAGAACACAACTTTTATTGGTCTAGAGGGAGTCGGCAAGTGACCCTGTCACCAATGAGCAGCAGATGGGGAACTCCTAGCTTGAGGGCGGGTCCTTACTCCTCGAGGCTCTGGTGGCCAAGGAAGTCCTGGAGCAGGGCCTGCACCTCGGCTCGCCTGCTCATCCTGGTCGCCTTGCCTTGGAAGCGACCCCGTGCTCCGCCACTCTATAAAAGAAGAGATTCACACGCTGCAGGGCTGGGTGTGCTCGCACACAGCCCCAAACGGGGCGCGCCAGTAGGGCAGAGGAGGGAAATGGCTCATCTGCTCTCGCACCGGCTCTGCTTCGACATTGAGCCAGATGCCAGTGAAAATCAATTCTCTGATCAAAGCAGCCACAACTCCACTTCCCTTCCTTAATAACAACAGTAGCGTAGCCGGTGTGTATCACACTGGCCTGCTCCTTTAAGGGCCAGGGAGCCCTGCTCGCTTATCAGGGGTGGACAGATCTTGGCAGCAGGAAAGGGGGCTGGAGACTAACAGACGGGGTGAGGGGAAGCAGCAGGAAGCCCCAGGAGAAGGAACGTTCCAGGTGGGATGCCCTGAGAGCCCCTGCTGGACTGAAATCTCCTGGTGGAAGTTTTCTTTTCCTTTTGTGAGTTGGCTGGGGGTCTGGACAGTAGCTAGGGCTGGAGGCTGACTGGACAGGTCTCATCTTTGCCCAGGCTGGTCAGGGAGGTTGCCAGGTAACAGGTGGCCACACAGCAGCTTACCTGGGGCCTAATTTTTCAACCGCTTCACTGGGCCCGGCCAGCAGGAAGAGCCCAGCTGCCTTCTCGTCTCCCACGGTCAGGAAGAGCAGGGTGTCCTGTGAAGAGAGATGGATGCTGATGCAGAACAGTGCTGCACCCCTTGTTTGAGCAGCGGGGAGGGGAGTCCCATGCGTGAGTGAGAACACCCCTCTTCTTTGTAGCACATGGGTTACTGGAGGGGAGGCTGTTTAGGGCACACATTTTGAGAGAGAGAGAGAGAGAGACACACACACACACACACACACACACACACACACACACACACACGGAAGGCCATCGCCATGGAAACAAGCTCCCATCTCTCTGGGACAAGCAGGGTCCCTCCAGATCCCTGGGGTGCCCTGATGTGGACAACAGCTTAGGCCACAACATCCTGTAGCTAACGAGGCCTTTGTTTGCCAGACAGTGCGTTGTGAGGGTTGATAAAGGGTGGGGAGAGGCAAGGTGCCAGCTAGGAGCGAGGCCAAGCCAGAGCGTGCTAACCTCTGTCCCGATCTCGTTGGCGATGATATTCATGAACTCCGAGTCCCCATCTTTCCTGTGAAGAGTAAAAAGTATTTCTGACTATTTGGTGTCCAGGCACAGAGACTCCAGTCATGCCTCTGGTGTTGGCAGCCTTTGGGCCTAAACTTCCGAAATCAAACGCCCCACGCTAACCAGCATGGTCTGGCTGGGCTTTAGGCTGATTCTGAGAATCAAATTTCCCACTGGCTTCTTCTCAAACACTGTCAGGGAAGCTGGAACCCAGGCCCTCTATGAGCGCCTCACTTTGTGCCAGACTCAGGGCTTGGGCCATTCCTTGTTAGGACAGCGATTAGCAATTTATCTAGCAATCCCTTCTATGTTTCTCACCCACAAATGATTCATTATTAAAGTGTTTCCTCAGTAACCAATGGAGCACTACCATTTTTTTTTTTTTGACGCTCTCACCAGCAGGGTGGGCTCATCAGACATATTTACTGCTTGGCTCTAAGACCAGCGGAGTTCAGCAACTGAAATTCAGCCCAGTTAGACTTTGAGTCCTTGCAACAGATCAACGCAGTTAGTTTAATATTTTGTTTCCTTAGTTTATGTTCTCCCTTCAAGAATGTCTGGATTTATGAATCTGTGTTATAAACAGCCTTGAATGCACAGCAGCTGCCGTGGGACATTGCTGGCCTGTGTTTATAGAGGAGGTCGGACAAGGCGATCACGATACTCCGTTCTGGCCCCAGGGCCTGTGATCCCGACCCCGGATCTCTGCCTTTACCTGTGTAACACAAACACTCGGCCTCGGCCTGGATTGCTTTTGAAGTTCTGGGCTGTCAAAACGGCGAGGTCTCTAAGCAAGTTCAAGTTGTTCTGCAAGGAAAGGAAACCCCATGTTGCAGACAGAGGGTATGTCTACAGTACAGAGAACATAAGAACGGCCGTACTGGGTCAGACCAAAGGTCCATCTAGCCCAGTATCCTGTCTGCCGACAGTGGCCAGCACCAGGTGCCCCAGAGAGGGTGGACCGAAGACAATGATCAAGCGATCTGTCTCCTGCCATCCCTCTCCAGCCTCTGAGACAGAGGCCAAGGACACCATTTTATCCCCTGGCTAATAGCCTTTTATGGACCTAACCTCCATGAAATTATCTAGCTTCTCTTTAAACTCTATTATAGTCCTAGCCTTCACAGCCTCCTCTGGCAAGGAGTTCCACAGGTTGACTACACGCTGTGTGAAGAAGAACTTTCTTTTATTAGTTTTAAACCTGCTCCCCATTAATTTCATTTGGTGTCCTCTAGTTCTTCTATTATGAGAACTAATAAATAACTTTTCTTTATCAGCCCTCTCCACACCACTCATGATTTTATAGACCTCTATCATATCCCCCCTCAGTCTCCTCTTTTCTAAACTGAAAAGTCCCAGTCGCTTTAACCTCTCCTCATATGGGACCCGTTCCAAACCCCTAATCATTTTAGTTGCCCTTTTCTGAACCCTTTCCAAGGCCAAAATATCTTTTTTGAGGTGAGGAGACCACATCTGTACACAGTATTCAAGATGTGGGCGTACCATAGTTTTATACAGGGGCAGTAAGATATTCTGGGTCTTATTTTCTATCCCTTTCCTAATAATTCCTAGCATCCTATTTGCCTTTTTGACAGCCGCTGTTATTTTTCCCGATGTGCATTACTTTACACTTATCCACATTAAATTTCATTTGCCATTTTGTTGCCCAATCACTCAGTTTGGTGAGATCTTCTTGGAGTCCCTCACAGTCTGCTTCTGTCTTGACTATCCTAAACAGTTTGGTATCATCTGCAAACTTTACTACCTCACTGCTTACCCCTTTCTTCAGATCATTTATGAATAAGTTGAAAAGGATTGGTCCCAGGACTGACCCTTGGGACTGACCCCAGGACTGACCACTAGTTACCCCTCTCCAATCTGAAAATTTACCATTTATTCCTACCCTTTGTTTCCTGTCTTTTAACCAGTTCTCAATCCAAGAAAGGACCTTCCCTCTTATCCCATGGCCATGTAATTTACACAAGAGCCTTTGGTGAGGGACCTTGTCAAAGGCTTTCTGAAAATCCAAGTATACTATATCTACTGGATTGTCTTTTAACCAGTTCTCAATCCAAGAAAGGACCTTTCCTCTTATCCCATGGCCATGTAATTTACACAAGAGCCTTTGGTGAGGGACCTTGTCAAAGGCTTTCTGAAAATCCAAGTATACTATATCTACTGGATCCCCCATGTCCGCATGTTTGTTAACCCCTTCAAAGAACTCAAGGGGTATGTCTACACTACCCCGCTAGTTTGAACTAGCGGGGTAATGTATGCATACCGAACGTGCAAATGAAGACCGGGATTTGAATTTCACGCAGCACGGGCTAGATAGTTTGAACTAGCTAGCCATTCCGAACTATCTGTACGCCTCCGAACTATCTGTACGCGCGGCACGGGGTTCGACCAAGCC